GGGAGTTAGTGGGTCAGGGAGGTGGCTCAAGGGGTGGTGGTCAGGGGGAGTAGTGGCTGGGAGTTAGTGGTCAGGGGAGGGGGGTCAGGGGGAGTTAGTGGTCAGGGGAAGTTAGTGGTCAGGGGGGGGAGTTAGTGTCAGGGAGGTGGGGAGTAGTGGTCAGGGGAGAATTAGTGGTCAGGGGAGTGGGTCAGGGGAAAGCAGGTCAGGGGAGTTAGTGGTCAGGGGAGCAGGTCAGGGAGCAGTGGTCAGGGGAGGTCAGGGGTGGCTGGGGGAAAGCAGGTCAGGGTCAGGGGGTCAGGGTCAGGAGGAGGTGGTCAGGAGGTGGTGGTCAGGGGAGGTGGTGGTCAGGAGGAGGGTAGTGGTTGTGGGGAGAAAGGTGTGGTCAGGGGAGGAGGTGGTCAGAGGTAGTGGTAGGGGAGTTAGTATCAGGGGAGGAGGTCAGTTATCTCAGAGACCCTCAATTTACATGGAGCTATAACCCCTGATAAAGTTCCTTATTATCCCAGGACTGAGCCAGGAGCCGCAAGAAGACATATTATTATTATTATTATTACATATATATTATTATGTCTGTTACCTCTGCCTCCTAATTAGTAATAATAATAATAATAATAATAATAATAATAATAATAATAATAATAATAATAATAATAATAATAATAACACACACACACACACACACACACACACACACACACACACACACACACACACACACACACACACACACACACACACACACACACACACACACACACACACACACACACACACACACACACACACACACACACCAGTACTTCACCCCACGAAACACCTGACACAAGTGACGTCATCATCAGGGAAAGTAATCAAAGGGTGACTTCAGGTGAGCCGTGATGGAGCTAATGAGAGACTCGAACAGGTAAACTTTTCTCCAACTCACCTGTTCAATATTCAATCCCATTGTTCCCTTCGTATTTACCTGTCCAGTTAATTTCCTTCGTACACCTGTTATTAATTTGTTTATACACCTGTTGATTATTATTGTCATTTACCTGGAGATTAAAATATTTCAGGTAACTCTGACTTGCGGAACTACTTTGCCACACCCGTCACTCTCCATCACTGTCACTCATCTACCGCCACTCTCCGTCACTCAGATAGTGTCATCTCTCACCCGTAGCTGTAAATCAGTCCCCTGTCACTCTCTCACCGTCTCCCACCATCCTTTATCACCCACCACCCATCCCCCACCACCCATCACCCATCCCCCTTTATCACCACCCTCCCCACCACCCACCACCCATCCCCTTTATCACCCACCCTCCCCCACCCATCACCCATCCCCCTTTATCATCCACCACCCTTCCCCACCATCACCCATCACCCACCACCCTTCACCCACTATCACCACAGACTACCCCCATCCCATTACCCATCACTTAAATCCTATAATACGTTATCATCGTACTCAAAGGGTCAAGTCATCGTACTCAAAGGGGTCAATGAACTAATTAAAGGTAAGTAATCCCACGTCAGGTAACACACTTTCCGGTTTAAACAATTTTCTTGCAAACTTTAAAACAAAACTCGTAAAATAAAAAAAATAAAACTATCAAATCCACAAAACATAAAGACCGAGATTGTAATGAGTTTTTCTTTTAATTGGGGTATGCAATAACACGTGATTTATGGCCAATTAAACAATTATTGCACAGTCTGTAATGCCATCATCTAGTTATTTTTTGGTGTGTGTGTGTGTGTGTGTGTGTGTGTCCTCTCCTCCTCCTCCCCGTTATCTTCTTCTCTTCACCCTCTTCCTCCTTCTACCTCTCTTTCCCTCTCCCTCCATTCCTCTGTCCACCTCTCTCACCTACCCTTCCTCCACCTCCCTTCCACCAATCTCAAGGACAACACGAAGTAGATAAAAACAAAACGAAAAAAAACGTGAAATACTAAATAAAAATTCTGTCGAGCATGAAGGGCTGCAATCCATCGGCTGCACAAGTCTTCTGCAATGATCTGGGCTGTGACATGATTTTACAGTCCCTTTCCATTCCCCTCCCTTTCCCTTCCTTCTCCTACCTTCCCTTTCTATACTTTCCTTCTATTTCCCTTTATTCCACCCTTTCTTTCCTCTCCCCTCCTTTTTCTTCTCCTTCCTTCCCTTCCTTTTCCTCCCCACCCTCTCCATTTCCTTTCCTTCCCATCCCCTCCCTTTCCTTCACTTTCCTCTTCTCCTTCTTTGCTTCCCTCTCCCTTCATCAACACTCTCTCTCTCTCTTCCTTCGTTCCTCTCCCTCTCCCACTAGCCAACCCTCTCATTCATCACCCTCCCTCTCCCTCCCCTCTCCCTCCCCCTCACCCCACCCTCCCTCTCCCTGCCTCTCCCTCCCTCTCTCTTTCTTCAGCCAGCAGGTAAATGAGATGTGCTGCGGAAGTTCGACCATTATCCCGCCTCAGAGATGAAAAGTTATAACACAAACATGATAAAAAATGGACGAAAAAGCTTCATTCACGAGCAAAACTTTGAAGCATTTTTTAAAAAGTATCCAACCAAATTATTTCCCCTGATAATTCGACCAAACGTTCCGATAACTCCGTGGAACGTTTTTTTTATATTTTGTTTGTTTTCTTCATTAACGTTTAATACCGTATGAGGTTAGGTTAGAGAAACGTTTAATTATATACAAGTGTGGACTACTAATACCTACCTGTGTTTAATGCCTTCTCCTATATCACCTTCTCTACCTCTTTCTACTCCTACTCCTTCTTCTCCACCTCCTCCTCCATCTCCCTCTCCTACTCATCTACCACCTCCACCTCCACCTCCTCCTCCTCCTCCAACACTGACACCTTCGCTAAAAAAATGTCGTTTCACTCGAGGGTTTTGTCATGTGGAAGACAGAGGACGTGGAGTTTCATCTTTAAGAAGTACTGAAGAGATTTTTTTATCCTTTCAAGACACGACACAGCGGGAGCTAAATGCGGGACACACACACACACACACACACACACACACACACACACACACACACACACACACACACACACACACACACACACACACACACACACACACACACACACACACACACACACACACACACACACACACACACACACACACACACACACACACACACACACACACACACACACACACACACACACACACACACACACACACACACACACACACACACACACACACACACACACACACACACACACACACACACACACACACACACACACACACACACACACACACACACACACACACACACACACACACACACACACACACACACACACACACACACACACACACACACACACACACACACACACACACACACACACACACACACACACACACACACACACACACACACACACACACACACACTGGACACACACACACACACACACACACACACACACACACACACACACACACACACACACACACACACACACACACACACACACACACACACACACACACACACACACACACACACACACACACACACACACACACACACACACACACACACACACACACACACACACACACACACACACACACCTGGACGACTTTTTTTTTTAAATTTGGAGTTGGATTTTTCTTTTTGTTTTACTCACGAGTTATTTATGTTGAGGTGTTATTCATTTAGTTACTCACGCCGGCGGGTTACTCACAATAACTAGACCATGTAAACAAAGCAATCAGCATCGTGTGCACCTAACTATTTATATACCTGTTCTACTTCTATACTTATTGCTACCACAACTTCATAGTAAGGAACACAAACATTCATACGTGACAAAGATTCACCTTCAATATCAACAAGTATTAAGTTATGTGTCAGATATATTTCAATTTTTATTCAACTTGAGGTACATTTTTTTTCTCATACTGTACTGTACCTGTAATGTATAATTCTGTATTTGTATTTCTGTAATAATACACTAATTGAGAATTACTAAACCTGTATCTGTATTTGTCGTATATTTACATCTGTGTATATATTTGCGTGAAAATATCCGCATCTGAGACTTATACTATGATATCACCTCGAACCCTCTTCCCTCGGGTATGGGAAGAGAGCAGGTGCAGCCAGTCAGTCAGTCACTGAGCCAGGCAGGAGGGGAAAATCGTGAGAAAGTCTAGTCCTGGCCTGCAGTCCAGTGATGTTAACAATAAACAAAAACTGAGTTAAAGTCCATTGTAATTTTATCTAATACCTTCAGTAAATATTAATAAAATAACTAATTCTATTCTATACAACTCTATCATAAGTTTATCTAATGCTCCATATATAACTTAACAAACCTCTAACCTAACCTTATATCTGCAACACAAACTGAATACAATTTGTTAGATCATCAAATATTCACAAAAATGGAAATGAATGACATTTTGCAGGATTCTGATAACACATTCGTATCTAATATTGACAATAATTATTTAGAGTTCCGGAATAATCAGAGATACAACTTAAAGAGATCCAGACCTACTAAGACCACCCCCCCCATGCGCTCCTCTCAGCCCCAGACCTCCATAAGACATCCTGGTGTAAAGGTGTGGAACAACTTGCACCCTCCCGTCCCAGTAATCAGATGATATTAAAGGTTATCTAATAATACCTTGAGATAAATGTACAGTACCGTGGTTTTCACCTGGCTCTCACCTAGTTCTCACCTGGCTCTTACCTGGCTGTCACCTGGCTCTCACCTGGCTCTCACCTGGCTCAACCATGTCAATACTGGACGAGTCTTACGAGGAATCGCTCTCTAACACTTTAGTTGAAGGTGAGACGACATCTTCCCTACACCACCTGAGGAAACAGTCCAGGTGAACGTACCTCTGGGAGCACTAACCTGGAGTCTCCACCTGAGGCAACTTGATGGTATTATACGAGTCACTTGACAGAACTTACCTTTAACTTTCACCAAGCTGAACCACCATCACCAAGCTGGGGTGGGGGGGGGGGGCCACTACCCACCTGCATGATCCTAAGGATGAGGGTCATCTCGTTAAAGTTGTACTCCATTGAGAACTGGATCTGGCCCACATTCTCGGTAGGCTCCGAGGTGTCGATGTACATATCCACCAGGCTGAGCGACCGGTTCTGGAAGAACGCCATCTGTGGGGACAACACCAGGTTACCATCTGTCTCCTCACTGCCAGCTGGGACGGCGGAAAACACTCCACCAGTCCGCCAGCTGGGAGGAATGAAACAACACAACAATAGAGTTTGGTGAAGGAGATTAGAGTGGATATTGATTGTCTCACGTAGTTGGTTCCTCTTGCCCCGGGCGTGGTAGCCGTAGTTACCCACACAGAGACAACAGCCGAGAGGAACAACTCAACGTTTCCCGCCACTCCTGTCCTCCTCTCGTGCTCAGAGCTACAGTGGCACAAACACCAACTTGTTCCTCCAGTATCATACCTGTAGGTAACCTGTGTCTACCGCCCACCCGAGGCAACATTCTTAATACTTCATTCAACATTTACCTTTAGTTTATTACGAAATACCCTGAAATTTATATCTTAATTCGCCAACTTTTAATAACCATACGTTGAGTTATCGACGGGACAAGCGAGACGGCGTGACGTAACCTGATTTAAGGGAAGGTGTTCACGACCTCAGTTCTCTGGCAACAACAGCCGCGGTGACCAGAGGAAAAACTCGACTAAGACATGAGTTTAATTGAAGTTTGAAGTACCTCGTGTGGTGGTGACGGTCCAACTAAACCAATTACTGCTCTGGGCTGCTAGGTTAATCTGTTCCTGGTGCTGCCTGACTCTACCTTTACCTGCCTGACTCTACCTTTACCTGCCTGACTCTACCTTTACCTGCCCGACTCTACTTTACCTGCCTGACTCGACCTTTACCTGACTGACTCTACCTTTACCTGCCTGACTCGACCTTTACCTGCCTGACTCTACCTTTACCTGACTGACTCTGCCTTTACCTACCTGACTCGACCTTTACCTGCCTGACTCTACCTTTACCTGGCTGACTCTACTCTACCAGCCTGACTCTACCTTACCTGGCCAACTCTCCCTGTGTAGCCTTACTTGGCCATACCTACCCGGCCACCTCATACCTGACCACCCCATATCTGGCCACCTCATAACCTGGCCAATTACTACCTGGCCATCCATCCCTTTCGCCTTGATGAACCTCAAAACTTTTTATAATTTGTATGAGTTTTTCCCGTCCACCTCCTCCCGTCCCCTCCTTCCTACTCCTTCCCCTCCTCCTCCCCCCCCTCCCTCTCTCCCCTTCCTCGACGTGGGTCCACTACCTTCCATCCTCCCTCCATCTCCCCGTCTCTTCCCATTCGAGTTGCTCTCTCTCTCTCTCTCTCTCTCTCCCCCTTACCTATGTATCACTAGTGGTCTCTGCCTCTAGCTCCTGTTACCTGTACGACCACCCCCACCTGCCTTACCAACTACACACCTTCATTTAATTACAGAGTAAGGTACAAAATCCCTCGCCACCACACAGCTTAGTACTTCCGAGATTAAATAAGCGAGATTTTTTAACCCTCCCAAAGGGTTAATAGTTTAATCCATCGTCCTTAAAGGGTTAAAAACTTAATCCATCGTCCTTAAAGGGTTAAAAACTTAATCCATCGTCCTTAAAGGGTTAAAACTTAATCCATCGTCCTTAAAGGGTTAGTCTACCCATCATTCAGCGGTGCAGTGTTGTGTACAGTACATAACCAAACACTCGTGCGGGCAACACAGGGAGGAAGTGATGTACTAAACATGTGCTGTACACTTCCCTTTGGACACCATGTACTACCTCACACATTACTCAGACCCAAAACAAGATCTCTGTCACATCATTCAATTATAACTCTCTCTCCCTCTACCTATGCTGACACGATCTTCCTAACAGTGTGTATAATAATTCGAACGATTGTAATCTAATCTACAACAGCGATGGATTATATTACTTAAAAGATCATTAACGAAGAAGATAATCACTGGTATTCGATTTTTTTTTCTCATGTTTACAACGGGTCTGGATGGTAGTGAAAGATTCTACTCAGTACTCAAGCCTGACACAGGTGAGAGGGGGTTAAAGGACTCGTGGTGTTCAGCAGCTGAGTACAAACTGAGCCTAGGATGTAGTCAACTCCCAACACTGAGTGGTGATGGTGGTGGTGGGAGAGGGGGGGGGGGTGAAATGATGGTCAGGTTTCACGGATTTTTTTCAGGCTCCTAATGAGATGTAAATTAATTGTCAATCATATTTAGGCTTCGATAATAAATAACTTGTTGCTGATTGATATTTACTTCTGCTTGTAATTACCCTGATAGCTAATGACTTCTAAATTGTTGTTAAATTGTTGTTGTAGCCACGGCGATGACTATGAGGTGTACACATACTAACTTTCTTCTCATCTACAACAATTTCTACACATCTCTACTTTAACGCATCAATTCTACGATATATATAGCTAAATATCTAAGTTATAATAGTTACCTAGGTGTAACTATCTCAGGGTTAAGACTAAATTCTGCCATTGGGTACAGTACATTGTTGCCTCTGGTGCCGTATCGTGTACGTGAGAACAAATAACTCTTTTAAAAACTTTGACAACAAACACAATTATAATGACAAAAATATATTATGTATTTTCCTTATTATCTTTTAACTTAAAATAACTAGAAAATTTTAAATGAGTTATTTTATATAATATTTAAGTTAATATAATTGAAGATATTACCCATGATATATAGTGTTATATAATATACTGACACATTTTGTAGATACAAAAAATTACTTTCCACTTTAATATATTTGTTAATTATAAAATACATAATGTACAATACAATGTAGAAGAAGACTTTACTTGTAACACCTACAGAATATCGATACACAATGTAGCACAGCCACGGGAGAGAGATACAGTATAGTACAGTATATACAGGAGATATTATGTATCAAAGAGCACATGTAGATGCTTCACAGGGAGGCCAGTTGAGACAGACACAGCGTTGTATGCAAACATGGGGGTCATACATGGGGGCATATATGGGGGACCATACAGGGGGTCATACATGGGTCATACATGGGGGCATACATGGGGGTCATACATAGGGGGGCATACATGGGGCATACATGGGGTCATACATGGGGTCATACATGGGGTCATACATGGGGGGGGGTCATACATGGGGGTCATACATGGGACCATACATGGGGACCATACATGGGGGACCATGTGGGGGGTCATACATGGGGGGTCATACATGGGGTCATACATGGGGGGTCATACATGGGGGGTCATACATGGGGGACCATACATGGGGACCATACATGGGGGACCATACATGGGAGGTCATGCATGGGGTCATACATGGGGGCATACATGGGGGCATACATGGGGTCATACATGCGGGGTCATACATGGGGGACCATACATGGGGGGGACCATACATGGGGGTCATACATGGGGATCATACTGTACATAGAAGACCATACATATAGGGTCACCACATGTATGATGCACACATACACACTATACACGTGAAGTCACCATATGTAATATTTCCACATATATACTCTACATAAAGGGTCCACATATATGTTAGTTCTTCACATATATGATCCACACATACAGGATCCAAATATGTAAGATCTCCACACAGGGGTAACATCTACACATGAACAGAGCTTCTATACATGTACACTACCCACACATGTACAACACCTCCACACTCAGATTGGATCCTCTCGTGTTCAGGATCCCCACAAACACACATGGGGGGGTGGAGGGGGGGGGAGGGGAGGGGGGAAGAGGCGACGACAAGACATACATGATCAGACATTCAGACAGACATGGCCTACTGCGTTCATGCCTTCAACAACCCTCTATAATGACACCAACATAGACCATAAATAATTGGAATCACTCTTACCATGCAGTTACAGAGAAGGTGTTGTGGTGGTGGTGGTGGTGGTAGTGGTGGTGGTCAGCCAGGTGAATTAATTAATTAGTGGTGGTGGTGGTAGTGGTGGTATGGATGGTGGTGGTGGTGGTGGTGGTGAATTGCAGGGTAATAATTAGTGCAGGTTGTTGGTGGTAATGGTGGTAGTGGTGCAAGTTGGTGAAATTGGTAATGGTGGTAGTGGTTGTGGTGGCATTGGTACGGGTTTGGATGGTGTGTGGTATAGCCATGCGAGCAGTGTTGGTTGTGGTGGTGGTGGTTGTGGACAGGTTAGGTTAGGACAGGTGCGTTGGACGGTGCAGTGGACGGGTGCAAACACGTTCGGTGGACAGGTGCGAGGACAGGTGCGTTGGACAGGTTCGTTGGACAGGTTCGGTGTGACGGGATCGGTGGACAGGTTCGGTGGACAGGTGTTCGTTGGACGGGTTCGGTGGACGGGTTCGGTGGACAGGTTCGGTGGACAGGTTCGGTGGTTGGGTTCGGTGGACAGGATCGGTGGACAGGATCGGTGGACAGGTTCGGTGGACAGGTGCGGTGGACGGGTGCGGTGGACAGGTGCGGTGGACAGGTTCGGGTGGACAGGTTCGTTGGACAGGTTCGGTGGACAGGTTCTGCGTTGGACAGGTGCGTTGGACAGGTGCGTTGGACAGGTGCGTTAGCGGACGGGTGCGTTGGACAGGTGCGTTGGACAGGTTCGTTGGACAGGTTCGTTGGACAGGTTCGGTGGACAGGTTCGGTGGACGGGTTCGGTGGACAGGTGATTGAAGAACTGTGTTAGTAATCTTGGGAAGAAAAATCACCTTGGAGAATAAGGGAGGAGGAGGAGGAGGGAGGAGGAGGGAAGGGAGAGGAGGAGATGAAGTGGGAGGAGGAGAAGAGAAAGGTGGTAGTAAGAAGAAGGGATGAAGAGGAGGACAGCAAGGATAAGGAGAAAGAAGAGAGGAAAGAAAGGGTAAGAGGACAACAAGGGAATAAGAGGGTGTGAGGGGGAAGACAGTGTAAACAATATAAGAGGAAAATGTCTTACTGGTGATATAAGACTGAAGGAAATAGATTATTGGAAATATATCAAACATAAACAAATTAAATAAGTATATATATTTACATGATGTTATTACTACTACATCTAATAATAATAATAATAATAATAATAATAATAATAATAATAATAAT